AGGAATATTCTTAAGAGACTTACTTACGCGAAAATTGCAGAAGATTTGCGCAAGCGTATTGCGCACTTTTTAGTATCTCAGATCTCAGTATCTTATTCATATTTGTGCACTCGTAAGATACATTTCATCTCTAGGATAAAGATCCCTTCAATACCGCTGGACGTGTCAAATTGTCGTCGAAAGTAATTCTTTTTTCAAAGCGTAGAAACAGTTTTATTTTTCTCGGTTTTTTGCAATACATAATTCTATACATACTTCGTTAAAAAAGTGAAAGCTTAATCTTTATTAATGTTAATCTAACATTAATATTTATATAATCAAGTAACGTTTCATATAAACAGTACATATGTATTTCGAAATAGAAATATTTGAATTTAAACTTTATGCAACATTAATTTAAACTTGTAAATGATTTAATTCATTAAAAAAATAGTGCTCCGCAACTATTCTGTATAACACGTAATAGTTTGATTAAATAATTTTATTTTAAAAGTATCTTTTTAATTTTATTTCTCTAATTATAAAATACTTTAACTAATTTATATACTCAAAACTAGTACTATTTAATTCAAGTGTGAATTATATTATTAGCACTAATGTACGTAATGTATGTTGTAACTATCTGCTACACGTGTAAATTATTTTTATAATAGTGGAAATTAAAATTAATATAATTGAACAAAACAAATATATACAAATTTTTTTAATCAGAAATTTTATTAATAGCACACATGCACTTTTAACATAAAATTATTAGTAAAAAAATATCTAATCATCTATAGAAATTCAAGAAGAAATTAGATTTACTTAACAGTCCATTTACATTTACAGAAAATTCATGCAGGTGCATCTCCTTTTTTTTAATGCCGAAACTTCTTCCTGGTACGCGCAATTATAAGATGCTCACACTTGCTCTCAAATAGAAATATTTTCCATTTCCATAATTTTAATTCTTTCGATGCCGAGACTACTTGGTAAAGTCATAATTTAAAAATAATTAGAATTCGATAAATACTGGATCCTCCAATTTTAAAGTACCACGGTAAAGGTTTAACAAGTGTTAAATACTGCGTATCAGCTATCTATTTGTCATTTACTATTAGCAATGTTTTTGTTCTTTTCTTTATTTTGTTTTTACTATTTATTTAATTTTATTTAATTTCAAAAAATTTAATCTAAAATATTTGTACATTTGTTGATGAGACCAAATAAAATATATTAGAGATATTTAATGTTTAATATATATGGGGCATTTCATCTCAAGTGTGCCACCCGTGAACTTTTGGATTTTTGATTTGGCTGAAATTTTTATATATTATAATTCTCATCGAAAGAAACTACCATGCTTATATATGATATATATATGTATATACATAACAATTCAAACGAAAAATTGTACTTGAAAACAAATAACATAAATATATATCCTTGATCTTTTATTTAAAGTACAGCATAAGAAAAAGTACAGCATGATTTCAATGCATTACATAAGTACTGGATGTACTAATATTTAATTTGAATAATTTTAATTTTCTATATGTTTCGTCAATTTTTCATAAATATATATTTAAACTGCACAATTTTGCATAAATATATAGCTAAACTGCATTTTCGAAAAATAAATCTTTATTTTCTAAAGCATCAATATTGTTGTTTTTTTTTTGTTAATTAAATTCTCACCACGCTGTTATTAATTTCACTGTTAAATTTATTTACTTTGTCATTGCGTAGAATATATGACAGTAAAATAAGATACTGATGATTTAATCAACTGCAATTAAAAATATTTCTTTTAGAACGTCCATTTCTAATACAGTACTTTTTAGATATTCATCACCTTACCGTAGCAAAACATTCTATAGATGCGTTAAATAATCCACAAAAATTCAAACAAAATTCTTTGGTTTCTCTTTGTAACAGAAACAGTATCATCTTCTGTATGTGTATCGGGGCTCTGTACCACTGCACATTGTATCTATGAAATTGTATATAAGTAACAAATGGCTAATTCGAGATAGACATTTTTTTATTTTACGTTAACTTTAGCTTTTACGCTAATTTGTTCTGCAGCGATATTAATTTCTATCTAATTTTATATCGAAATTCTTATAGCAGATATAGTTTTTTATATTATCTCATGAAATGTTTCTTACGCAATAGAAAATACGTGATTATTGTGATCTATTATATTCTGTCCAATATAGTTGGCTACAAACATATATACGAGAGTAGCAATAGCAAAGAGAAACGGGAGAGACAGACAACGGATAAACGACATTTTATCAGCCTTATTTTCAAATGATACTATTTGAAAAACCTAAAAAAATAAATTTATGCCACATTTATTAATAGCATTGTTAATATGCATAATTCCGAAACAACGCTTGTACAGTATTATACAAAATCGAAAACACTGCACCTGAAATAGATTCATGCTTAAACAAACCACTCCGCACAGAATCAAACATAATATCATTATCTCGAATTTGGACATCAAATCCTTAGTCAATCTTCAAAAACAAAACGATATTATTATTACTAAACGTTGCATAATATTATCGGCGTAAATACAAACTTCATAGCTTGTCGGTGAATGTCGACGGCGCAAATTATGCCCTCGGTCATCAAAATTTTATTTTTTAGCGTAATGTTTTGCAAAATGTTCACGCTCATTGTATGCTCCATACGATAGCTTTAAATGTTATATTGTAATTATACAAGTTATTTAGTAAATAATACAATTTTCAGCTAAAAACAAAACTACAAAAAATTTTTCAATATACTATATATTGTATAAAAGTAACAAATTTTGTAAAACGATTCTAATAATTGAATTGTTATAAAAAATATTTATTTTTCTACGTCTTTATTCTTACCTAGCAATTTTAAACATTCCACAGGTATGTTGTAGATACGTAATAAGCATTGTACCTATTGCTACCATTATAACCATTCCGATGCAATATGCTGCATACAGAAGCAAATAGAAATACTTTTCTTGGCCGCCGAAATACTCCGTCATAATGAATAAATGATGTGATTGAGACGCGTTTATCGATACATCAACATCAACTATATTCAACCAAAATTGAGTTAAAATACCAGATATTCCGCAAAGTGCACACGCTAAAAAGCGTAAAAAAGTGTTACTTAAATTCCTAGTGTGTAATATTATAAAATTATTTTATATATATATCGTATGTGTATGTTTGTTATGAAATGATTTTTAATAGATTTAAATTTTATTATTTTGATGATTATTTTTCTATTTTATACGATTTATAAGCACATTTCCCATTTATCGCAAATGCGTATACGTGATCAGTCAGCATCATCAATATATTTTTGTAATAAATCATGTCTATATGTATATACGTGTATTATATCATGCTTAAATTAATTTTTTTCTCTATTTGACGGCTTAGACATCAAAAATATAGTTAAATAGAAAAATTAAATAAATTAACTTACTTGTAAGAATAAACGTATAACGTTTCGCAATACAATTATATTTTTCTACAATCGCAATTTCATTTTCATCCTTTAACTCATTATGTACATGTCGGAGCTCTATCAGTAAATTCTTCACCTGTCATTTTATCAACTTTCTGTACTGTACTTCTTTATATATATACATCAACAAATACTTTTTTGCTATAGAAATTTATTTGACGAACAAATTAATCTCACGGATACTTAATAAGCCGTCAACTTACAACTTCAATGTTAAAATGGAATGCGTTATACTTTACTGCGAACATTGCAAAGAAAGATACGGAAGATAGCACTTTGATAATAAGGTCCCAAGTACATTTTAATACTATTATTGGTGTCAACTGCAAACAAATAGGTATGTAGTTACGTTATACACAATTTCACGTATAAGTATAATTAAAAATAACATTATGACATATTAATTCTTAAAAAAGTACATTACAAAAATGCAACGGGAGTATGCATAGACGAATACATACTTGTTGCGTATTCGCGTATTGTATGATAGTTGCGTATCAATTCCATGATATGGTGCTCTTTTGCCTATCATATAACTAATCATCTATTATACCGAAATTTTAATATGTAACATTTCCTGTCTACATTGATACGCATTAGTGATACGTTACGCGGATTCACAAAAAGTATCCGTCTTAAATAATTATTTACATGAGCTCTCGAGATTGAAACAATAAACATAGTACAATAAAGGCCTATGAAAGCTAACACGGATGTCGGTGTGTAATAGTTTTTTACAATATCCAGCCCCACGCGAATTGTGCGCCGCATAATCGTCGGACTTGAAACACAGCTTATTACATGAGGCCAGAATTTACTTGTAACAATTAAATTGACTACCAATTTAACACGCATCTGTAAGAAATTATTGCGAAAAAATATCACCTCCTGTTCTCAGCCGGGCGAGAGAGCTCTCATGGGTCTTTAGTGTACTATGTTTATCCGCCTAAGTTTATTGCCATTCGTCCGCGATGATAATTGACTTTTCCATTTTAATTACTTCGTACAGTGTACAGTGAGAGTAACTGTAACCATGGAAATCATGTTAAGTAAGCTATTTCAATATATTAATATTCACACATTTTATCAAGATCAAAGGATGAATTTTTATAAAAGAATAATTATAATCCAATTTTAATTATGTATACACATGTAGGTATATTATGTTAAATTCATTTCTTTGTGTTTGATATTAAGAAAGCTCCTAATTGCAATTAATGAAAAATATACAATTTGCAATGTGCAATTATATGTACATATATATTTTTTTAAACAAAACTATATGTATTTTGTTTGTATGTCAATAATCGCTTTACCTTATAATTTCTAAATAAAGGTATTAATACAAACACATGCACTTACAATGTTAAAGAACTAGTTGCATCCGCATAACGCACACTTTGTTTCTTTTGATACAAAAATCAAATTGCGTAATGAAAATTGAAATAATTTGACAGTGGAAAATCATGCAGTAATTCATCTTCTAATAAAGTTATATTTTTTTCTTTACCTGAAAAATAATGCATGCCGTCAGAATAGCAGAGAAGAAAATAAATTGAAATTGAGCAAATTTGGATTGTTGATACGGCCATAAACCGACAGTAAGCAATAGGATTCTGTTGAGATTGTGTAAATGCATCATTTTTCTGTGAGCGTCTAAGTATTACTGCGAAGACTGAGGATATTCATGAGAGTGAGTTTATTCCACTTTTTTCACTGATCGATTAAATATATTCCACATCTTATTTCTGGTAGAAATTTCAACGATCAAATTTCCTTATATGTAATAATTGTGTAAATGTTTGCTATGAGATCTTAATGCGCTCAATTTTCAACAAATTTATCAGCAAACAATGAATATTTATATTAGCAATCTATCATTAAAGGTAATTTAACAGATGTTTTTTTTCTCGTGAAATTGAACTACTTATAGAAAAACTGCGCAGGCGCATTTTACCTTTTCTGCATCGATACTTCATTCTAGTTTACGCATTCACAGGATACACTTCATCTTCGAGAGGGATATCTCTTAGCTTTTTCGATACGTGAATATAACTTAAAAATAATTGTGAATTATTAGATAAATATATAATACTATCTATTAATTTTTGACAAACGCTACTAATATTTTAAGCAAATGTTAACTGGTGTGCAAATGTTAAATAAATGTGACAGCTATCTTGTTGTTTCTAAGGAAATCAATTATACTCTAGGTATTTTGGCAATATTCTTTTCTCTTTATTTTTTAATTTTGTAGTATATACATATGTTATTTGTTATTGAAAACTTAATTTGTATGTTTAATTGTTGATATATGAAATTGATTAATTAATTAATTATAAGTAATATTTAAATATTATAGTAATTTAAATAATTTTAATCTTCTTCTATAAAAGGGAAATATCTCTCTACATTCATAAATTTATTTTTTAAGCTCGTGTGACTATGTAATTATCGTTACTTCATTAACTATATCTTTACTATGACAATAATAAATTCGTTCGACAATTTTTTTTCGTCACTTCGTAGAATATATGACAGTAAAATAAGATATCGAGGCCTTCATTAGCTGCAAATATACATATTCTTTTATTATGTATAATGTGCGTAAGGTTGCATTATTAAAATAATCTACATTATATTACCGTGGCAAAACACTCCATGGATGCATCAAATATTCCACCGACACTTAAAGTAAATTCCTTAGTTTCTCTTTGCAACAAAAATAATATTATTTTTTGTATATTTAAAGGAGTTTTATACCATTTTATGTTGTACCTATGGAATTGAACATAGACAACAGACTGCTAATTTGTGATAGAAATTTTTTAATCAAATAATTTTAATACAAATACTGATTTGTTTTGCCACAAATTATTTTCTATTTTTCCATTGATGCATCCGCTGAAAAAAGGATATTCGTACATTATCTCTATAAGAATGTTTCTCTTACGCAGTAATGTACACGTGATTATTGTAGTCGATTATATTCTGTCCGATATAATTAGTTAGAAACATGTATAGCAGGCTTATAAACATGTACATAAGAGGCATAAAAAATTTGGTGAAATTATTTTCAGATGATGCTATCTGAAAAAGCTGAGAAACAAACCTCATGAAAATTTTCTACGTATGTACATTTGTTCTAACTATCAGCCTAAGAATAATACATGCACAAGTTTTGCTAATTCTTACAGCTAAGATTACAAGTAATTTATATTTTATTAGAATTAGAATTAATTAGAAATGGGTTATTGTTATAGAGCATTTGCTAAATATTTACTAAAAACAATATTAATACGTCCTGTTTATATACATATACATAGGGAAAAAACGCACTTAATAAATTTTTGTCTGTAACAAAAATTTATGCAAAAAAACCATAATTTTTTTACATATAAACAAATCAAATATTTTACGTACAACAATGTAATAACAATCAATAATTATGCATACTGATAAAAAAATTATATTATATTTAAATATAATTAAAAATGTATTTGTATGAAAATCTGCAATTACTCATACTCGATAGATCTAAAAATACACAATATATAATGTCTAGTAAAAGTTCACTACTAAGAAATTAACAATAATTATATATGAATATTTCCTTTTATAACCGGAACAAGTCATTACTGATTATTTTCACACAAAATTCAGTTATTTTACCGCCTAGTTATTTTACTTGAAGAAAAATTACTTTATTCGACAAATTACTTTATTGGACAATTTTAGGAAAATTATGTCTTGCTTATACCATCTTTGCTTTATACATTATATAAATATATAAGTATATAAATAATACAAATGTATATACATGCTATGTATACATACACGCGCACGCGTGCGTATTTATATTATATGAAACCAATAACTTACTTGAAACAAATTGAGAGTAAAACAAACTACTACACACAACGTGAAACAAAATATGAACTTCTCGAGTGTGGACACTAACTGCTTGCATAACCTTAAAAAAGAATAAAGATATCATTAATGTATTGCACGCATATTGTTGCCGTAGATACAAACTTTATAGCTTGACGATGAATATGAATTGCACAAATTATGTTCTCGGCAATAAAAATTTTATTTTTTAACGTAATATTTTGTAGAATATTAATGTTTATTGAATGCTCCATACGATAACTGTAAATGTTCGTAGTTATATAGCAATTTGTCAAATGATACAATTTTTTAGCTAAAAATAAACTACTACAAAATTTTTTTAGTACACTATATGTTGTATAGAGATAACAAATTTTATATGGGCTCAATTACTGAATTGTTACAGAAATTTCATTTCTACGTCTTTATCCTTACCTAGCAATTTTAAACAGTCCACAGGCATGTTGAAGATATGTAATGAGTAGTGTTGCTGTTGCTAACAGTATAGTCGCTCCTATAGAAAATGCTATATGCATATGCAACAGAATCAAGTAGAAATACTTTTCTTGAACGAAGTACTTTATAATGAGTAAATAATGTGATTGAGATGTATTCCTTGATACATTAACTGTATTTGACCAAATATCAGATATAATAAAAATAGATCGGAAGAG